GGGTGGGGGTTAGGGGAGTAGGGGCAGTCTCCAGCCACTAGGATGTGAGGCGAGCGCGTCCTGGCAGCCAGAGTGTATTGCGAGCTCTGAGTGTAGGAAGGGAACGAGCAGGAGCTGGGACAAGCTTGAACATCCCACCCCAACTGCTCGCCCGGCACTCCTCGGATCGCGCAGCCAAGAGACTGAAGGGAGGAAGGACAGTGCTTGGAATTTAGGACACTAGGACACGGGTCTTCGGGTCCTTAGAGGCGGCGGGAAGGAAGCAGCCCAAGAGGGACGGGGCTTTCCAGGCGCTGCCCTGACAGCATGAGTTTTCCGCGAGGTTCCCACGATCGGCCAGTGAGCAACTCCAGCCCGTGGTGGCTTCTGAGCGCTGAGGATGCCAACAGCAGCCGGGAGGCAGCGGGGCACGGGGAAGGCAGCGACCCTCTAGGGGATGTACGTAACGAGGAGCTGGCCAAGCTGGAGATCGCCGTGCTGGCAGTGATTTTCGTGGTGGCCTTGCTGGGCAATAGCAGCGTGCTGCTGGCGCTGCATCGCACGCCACGCAAGACTTCCCGCATGCACCTCTTCATCCGACACCTTAGCCTGGCCGACCTGGCGGTCGCCTTCTTCCAAGTGTTGCCACAGCTGTGCTGGGACATCACCTACCGCTTCCGCGGGCCCGACTGGCTGTGCCGCGTGGTGAAGCACCTGCAGGTGTTTGCCATGTTCGCGTCCGCCTACATGCTGGTGGTCATGACGGCTGACCGCTACATTGCAGTGTGCCACCCGCTCAAGACCCTGCAGCAGCCCGCGCGCCGCTCGCGCCTCATGATCGCCGCCTCTTGGGTATTGAGCTTCGTACTGAGCACGCCGCAGTACTTCATCTTCTCTATGATCGAAATCGAGGTGAACAACGGCACCAAAACCCAAGACTGCTGGGCTACCTTTATCCAGCCCTGGGGTACCCGCGCCTACGTGACCTGGATGACCAGTGGTGTCTTCGTGGTACCTGTGGTTATCTTGGGTACCTGCTATGGTTTCATCTGCTACCACATCTGGCGAAACGTCCGTGGGAAGACGGCGTCGCGGCAGAGCAGGGGCAGCAAGGGCTCTGGGGAAGCCATGGCTCCCTTCCACAAGGGGCTTCTGGTCACGCCTTGTGTTAGCAGCGTGAAGACCATTTCCCGTGCCAAGATCCGCACGGTAAAGATGACCTTTGTGATCGTGACTGCCTACATTCTCTGCTGGGCGCCTTTCTTCATCGTCCAGATGTGGTCAGTCTGGGATGACAATTTCATCTGGACCGGTACGTGGTGAGAACATGGAGGCTGAGTGTGTGTGTGTGTGTGTGTGTGTGTGTGTGTGTGTGTGTGTGTGTG